TCTCTGCAAGGCTCTTGAAATAATAATATCTTTTATAATCCTAATAAAACCTTGGGAGGAGTATATTATCATCTCTGTTTATAGATGAGAGAATTGAGACACTGAGTTTAAGTGATTTGTCCAGGTCTCACAAAGTGGCAGGCAGGAGATTTAACCTAGGTCTGCCTAATTCTAAAGTTCTAGGGATTAATAATAAATCTATTTGTTTCCAGACATAGATGAAGAACTGCAAGAGTTCACATTGATTGATGCTTGGGGAATCTAGGAAGAAAAACAAGATTGGAAATGTGTAAGATGGCTTGGAGAGAATGGAATTAGAAAGATCAGTTAGGAAAAATCCAAGGAAAGGAAGTAAAGCCTGATCTAAGGAGGTGGAGTGGAGAGAATTAAAATGATTTTAGAGAGATGTCACAGAGGTAGAGTTGTGGGATTTGTAGATACCGAAGGGTAGGAAAGCAAAAGATTATTCAGAAGGTGTTAGCCTGACAAACCAAAAATATGCCCTGAGTAGGGATCACAGGAAAATAGAGGGGCCAAAGATCACTGGACTAGGCAGGGCTGCAGGAGTGGAAGACTTTGAATTCATCGCCTATTCTTAAAGCCACATATGGTATCCAGTTGCAAAAAAGAAAAGTGTGATGATTCCAATAAAAACATCATTCGTTTAGCATCTGTTAAATACCCAGGGTCATTACAGTTCTTTTTTACATACTTTATCTTATTTAATTCTCACAGCAAACTGTTCGACACCTATATGGTGCAATAATAGTCTCACAGCACTTCTAATGCAAGTAAGCAGTTAGATAATCAAGCGTGCAGTTTTGGAGAGAGGTCAGAGATGGAGGTGGGATAACCGGCACAGTGAGTGAAATAAGCCGGTTTACAAACATTGACTCTCTTCTGCGTGCTCAGCAGTCACAGGCTGAGCTCACAGCAGAAGATATAAGAATACTAAAAGCTGATTCCTAACTTTCACAAATGGAATGAATAATTATTTGAAAGAGAAAAGGAACTAATAAATAATAGAAAAAGTTTAAACAGGCGTTAGATTGCATAATACAGACTCTCAATGTTACAAATTTCAGAGAGACATCTGTGATTCCTGCTGTCAGGGAAGAAAATGTGGATCTGGAACTTGAAAGATAGATAATGTTTGACTAAATGCTGAGGAACACATAGGGCTTGATTTGTTTGTATATAAATGAAAGAGAAAATGAGTAGGAATATGACAGTGCATGTGAAATTGATGTGTTTATAAGACAATGAGGATATCAGACTGAAAAGAGGATAAACTAAGATTGGAAAACATCAGAAAATGATAAGTGATATATTTTTGATGACAGATTATAGAACATTTGGCCAATCAGATAGAGCTGATATTTGCCATAAAAGAGAGTGTTTGAAGGATTTTAAGTAGAACAAGGACAGGAAAGCTGAATTTTTGGAGTATGATTGGGCAAAATTCTACTTACAGCAGTGCAACTTTTTTACACCAGGGACCGGTTTCGTGCAAGACAGTTTTTCCACAGACAGGGGTGGGCTGGGGTAGGCACCCGTGCCTTGACTCCACCTCAGATCATCAGGCATTGGATTCTCACGGAGAGCACGCAACCTGGATCCTTTGCATGTGCAGTTTGCAGTGGGGTTCGTGCTCCTGTGAGGGTCTGATGCCCCTCACTGATCCGACGGGGGGCAGGGCTTGGGCGGTGATGTGAGCAATGGGGAGCAACTGTAGGTGCAGGTGGGCCTTCAGCTGGCTCACCTACGGCTCGCCTCCTGCTGTGCAACCCTATTCCTGGTGGGCCCCAGGGTTGGGGACCATAAACTTACAGGATTGGAAACGGAAGAAAATTTTTGGAATATTGCCAAAGCAGGTGCACCTAAAACAGTTTTGAAGAAATGAAGGGCAAACTTTAGGAAGCCATTATTCATGGGGTGGCGATGGGAGCTAAATAAGTGACATAAGAAATTAATGTTACAATTCAAAAACCGCTAACTATTTTGACAATTTATGCTCACACTTAAATTGTGGTGGAGACTTAAATAAGGTTTAGACTTAAAAGAGGACAAACAATGACAT